CTCCCTGGACCTCAGTGCTCCTGTCATATAACAGTGATGGTAACAGAACCCATCTTGCAGGGCTGTGATGGAGGTTAATGACTGAAATTTGCAAGTGCAATGTATTTAGAGCAGCGTCTGCAGGTGTACACACTTATACATTGGGAAAGACGGTTAAATAATCCTAAACATTTCTGAGCACAACCTATAGACAGAGGGCAGCATTCAGCCCGGACCATCTATATCCCCCCCCCCCCCGCAGCGTGACCGGGGCAGCCTCAGAGGAAGGCTGCAGGCTGTGTGTTGGGGCTAAAAAAGGTCACGGTCCCTGCCATTGGTCCCCAGGTTCACAGAAGAGTAGAAATGTGCCAAGAGGCAGGGGTGAGCCAGTAAGCATGTCCACAGCCAGCTGGACAGGTCTGACACCACCCCTGATGCTCCCTTTTACCACTGGGGTCATGGTGGTTTCTGTGGCTGCCATGCCAAGCTCCCTGCTTGTCTCTAAACGTGTGGGAAGCCCCTTTACTGGGAAAGGGTCGGGCTGATTCTAGACACGGTTCACAAACGTGAGAGCCTTTGATGCCTTGAATGGTTCCACCTTCCAATCTTGACACCCCTTTCCTCAAGGTAGGAGAATTCTATCTCAATGCCACAAGTCCTAGGAAAGGGCTTGAACCCCTGGCTAGTTGCCCCAGGAGAGTTCATCGGGCTTTCTGCTGCTCCCAGGCCAGAGGTCCACTTCAACCCCCTTGGCACCCACCAGCCTGCCAACTGCTTCTGGGGTCCCTGGTGAGAGTCTCCTCCAGCGGCAGCCTCCCTCATCAAGTCACCCAACCTGTTTGAACAGATATGCACACGTACAAAACCAGAATCTTGAAAGGGTGTAGCTGACACACACAGGTGAGTCAAACCTCGTCAGGTGGTTCTCAACAGCCCAGGGGAGGCAAGTGCTCAACCACCCCGTGGGGAGGGCCTGGCCCAGGCCCCAGCCCACCAGATGGAGAGACGTGTCCCTGCAGCACCCAGCAGCAGACAGCCTCAGCCGACATAGGGTCTGAGGACCAGGGGAAACACGCAGGCTTAAACCACTGCTTGGAAAACCTGTAGTCAAGCAGGTCCCGTAACTCCAGGAAAAGTCAGAACGGTGACACTGCCAGCAAGAGAGAGGCAGCTAAAAACAGATGAGTGGTCCACAAATACAAAAATCTTCAATTCACTGATAACTTGAGGATCGAAGTAAAACCACGGGACGGGGTTCCACTTATCCGACTGGGAAAGAATAAGAAAACACCCAGGGCTAGAGGGCGGGAGGGCAGAGAGAGGATGGACAGACAGGGGACGGTAGGTAACTCACAGCACAGACAGTGCGCTTCTGGGGATCCGTCCCCAAAAGAGAGCTCTTCCCATCCTTTACGTAACAAACCTCTACTCTGTATATGTTTGTGTAGATGTGTAAGTACAGAGATGTTTTTCACAGCATTGCTTATTATAGAAAACACTGGAAATGAACCCAATAGGATACTGGTTAAATTAATTATGGTTTACACACAAGATAGAACACAGGTAGTAATTTTAAAAATATGTTCTTTAACAACACTAACGACATGACAAAACACTTGAAGGGGGACTCAGGCTAGACCGCCACATGCCTGTAGAACATGACTCTGATTCTATAGGAGACAGAAGTGTGCACCCAGAGGTTCCAGAGGGCAGGTTGTCACACTCGAGAGAGGCTCAGTTTTGGACGGGAGAATTACCCCGTTTTGTGCCTGATGTGGTTTCTAAATTTTCAGCAATGACAGTGTTTCTTGAGAGTACAGAAGAGCCTCCAACATGATTTCAACAAAGCAGCACACTAGACTAAAACCCTCAGTAGTACCTTGTCCCCAGATGCAATGGATGTGGCACGCCTGGGGCTGTACGCATAGTCCTCGGTCTCTGCCCTGGACAGTCGTCCTGTGCCAGCACTGGGAAAGGGGCCACGAGATGAGCAGGGGCTGGAGGACGGCGGGAGCTCGGCCCAGACAGCATCTGATGGGCTGGGTAGGAGAGGGTCGGCGCCCAGGGCGGATTCTCAGAGAGCCTTTCAGGTGGGGGAAAGCCATATAACCAAGGCCAACAGACCACCAGGTTAAGAGAACGTGACTGAGGCCCAACCAGAAGGCAGAGGCTCGGAGGGGACACACTGTGGACGGGGGTAGCGTGCTCCTTCACAGAGCTGGAGACCTGTGATGACTCCGCCCCTTATAGACGCCTCTCCTAGCACTGGTCCTCCTGCTAACCCTACAAGGGGCCAAGACTTGCTCCCCTGGGCCTGAGACATGCTCCCCGAGACCTATGCACAGCCCCTCCTTCCACACGGCAGGTCTTATGGGAGGAGAGGCAAAAGCCAAACAAATGGCAGCCTCGGTGCCAGAACTGAGAAGGCAGAAGTGCATTCCGCTGGTTTGGGGAGGAGTAGATGACTCACACGTATTAAAGCAGAAATGTTTGGGGAACGTAAGGGCCTGTGTGATGGGGAGAACCACCAGGTAAAGACGATGTCCCTGAGGCTTTGGAAGTTGAGTAGCTGTGGCACATGGCCAGAAATGCTGAGAGCAGGAGAGGCGAGTTTCATACCCAATATTCTGAAACACCACAGAACCCTGAACTGTGGGGACCGACTGTTCCAACTGTGGGCAGTCTGCGGCCTTCCACACGCTCTTGTAGTCATCACTTCTTTCTGTCCTGGGAGGTGAGAGGAACAGGAACAGTGCCCATTTTACAGATAGACTAACAGAGGCTCTGAAGGGTCAAATAACTTTCCTGAAGGCTCCAAAGAGTAGGAGGCAGCAGACCTGTCTGCACTCAGCCCCCAGCACAATTTTCGCCACCTGCAAACCCCGGTGTTCTGGTGCTTCACTGAACATGAACAGAGACCTCATTGTCATCAAGTTTTGCTTCCTGTATTTTGACAACAGCAGCTGCAGTAAAGGCTCCTGGCAGAGATGGGTTCATGGTAGCAAATATTAATTTTTAAGGGGGCCAGTGGGAGGCTGTGTACAGAGGGAAGAGCCAAGTGGACTCTCTGGACAAACAAGGCAAGTCCCAGCACCCAAAATGGTGTGTGTGTGTGTCTGTGTGTTGAACCAGCCAGCTCAGCAGGGCCCACCCAGGGTGGTGTGGCTCTCCTAGGGGTGCTCCCAAGTTCAACCAAAACTCCAGCTCGGCCCCTCACCTCCAGGGGAACAGTCAATGCATCTGAACCTGAGCCCAAGCACCCTTCTTCACTGGGGAGCTAGAGGGGTAGGGCAGTCTGGGGCAGCCCACGGGCCAGCCAGGACATCCACAGCCCCCCCACTGCCCTCCTGGAGGGGACGCAAAGGCTCTTCCCCTCCCTCTCCCAGCAGCCTGCATGGGAGGCCACCAGCTGCCTCCGGATCGCCCCTTCTAGACAGACGTCTGGACCTTGTTGCCATCAGGCAGCCGCAAGGTGTACGCGGCTTTGGAGTACGAGGAATGTGGCTTGTGTGACTCAGGAAGAGTGCTTAATGTCAGTCAATCTACACTTAAAATCAAAGGGCCACGGGAGGGGCAGCAGGAGGGCCCCTTGCTGTAAGTGCTCTGTGTGTGCACTGTGCTTGCTGGAAATGGCAGGAATGCACACCCAACAAGGTGTGCGACCACGTCCCCGCTATAAAAACGGGCCCTCCTGGGACTCTCTACATTGTTTCCTACAACTGCCTGTGAAACCATGATGATTTCAAAAAGTTAAAAAGACCCACCACATGTGTTCAGTGCCTATGAGAGCGGTCAAAGAACTCTGATCAGCCACGTTCCCAACGCAGTTGAAGAAACCAACAATAGTCTGGAGCTCCCACTCCTGCCTGTGGTTCTTTCCTCCCCAAACTCACAGCGGGCACATGCGATTCAGGAGGGTGGGGGCACTCTTGGGCTGCAGAGGGGATGAGTCCCGGGCAAGGGTCACAGAATTAGCATAGGGAGAAGGCTGCGAAGAGGAGTTCATAGAAAGACCGTCTCCCCAAGATGAGAATGAAATCCAACTCACTGATTCATTGCGGAGAAACCGGCCCCGGTCCTCGTTGGAGGCCCTGTAAACCCCTTACCAAAGGAACCCTACGGCCCTTGACCCGCAGAGGCGGCCTGCGCAGGGGGGTAGCCGGACTCAGCTCCTTAGGCACAATCGCTCCGCACGGAGTGGGGGCTCTGAGCCCACCCTCCGGCCCAGCCCCTCTCCCAAGCCCTCAGGCTGCTCCGCCTCGTTTTCCAGGAGGCGGGAGGCACAGAGAAAGGGCGAGAGGGCCGACTCCCAGGCAGCAGCAGCGAAGGGCCCGAGGAGCCCCTCCTCCGGGACCCTGAACAACAGCAACCAAGACCCTCGCAGACTAAAGCGTCAGCCTCTAAGGAGCCGCCCCCGCAAAGGGCAGAAGCGCCAGATCCTATCCGCCAATTAGCCGAACGCGCACAGACACCGCAAGTTGGGGCACGCTCGGGCCGGGGCGCGGGCAGCGGGAGGGGCCGCCGGCCCGGCGCGCCGGGAGAGCCTGGGCCTGGGGCGCGCCGGCGGGGCTGGGGGTCCCGGCCGGCTGCCGCTCACCCCTCGCGCGTTCCGAGGCTCCTCCGAGGCGAAGGAGGAGGCGCGGCCCGGCCCTCCCCCCCGGCCCGGGCCCCACAGGCTCCCCAACGGCCCCACTCCGAGCAGCCCTCGGGTCGCCCCGGAAACGCCGCCCCTCCACCGTGTGGCGCGCCGGGTCGTCTCCCGCCCGTGGAACAAAAGAGCCGCTCCCGCGGGGGTCCGGAGCCCGCGCGGCCCTCCCAGCGCCGGGCTCCAGCGGCACCCATCGCGCCGCCGGGCTTTGTGTCCGTGCGGGGGCGAGAAGGGCGGCGGGACCCCAGCGCATCCCGCCGCGGCGCCCGCGCTCCAAAGTTGCCGCCAGTCCGCGTACCCCCCGCAGCGCCCAGCCGCCCCCCGCGGGGCGCTCATTCATTCGCGGGGGTGCAGAGCGCCGGCGCCGGCTCACCTTGCTCTTGACTTCCACCGCGCTGCAGTCGTAGAAGCGCAGGGTCTGAGACTTGTGGAAACTCCGGTTCATGGTTCCGGCCCCGCGCAGCCTCGCCTTCGCCCCGGCTCCTCGCTCCAGGGGCTGCAGGAGGACGCTGGGGGCGGCGCCCCCCGCCCCGGCCCGGGCCCCGGCCCAGGCCCCGACCCAGCCCGAAGCCGCGCTCGCTCGGCCGCCCCGCCGCTCCGAGTGCGGCGGCCCGAGCTGGGCTGGCCGCGCGCCTCGGGACTCCAGGGGCCGCGCGCGGGAGGAGCTGGGGACGCCGCGCGCACCGCCCCGAGGACCCGCCCCCCGGCCCCGCCCCGCGCCCCCAGGGCCCGCCCCCCCAGCCCCCGGGACCCCGGGCCCGCCCCGCGCCTCAAGGACCCGCCCCCCATCCCCGCCCCATTCCCCGAGGACCCGCCTCCTGCGTCCCGAGGACCCTGGTCCCGCCCCGCGCCCCAAGGACCCGCCCCCGCGCCCCGCCCCCGAAGCGGCAGAGTCCCGGGGAGGTCCGCGCTTCTGTGTGCGCAGTCCGGAGCAGGGAAAAGCAGCTTGGAACAACCCCGGGCGTCTCATTCCCACCTGGGTGCTCAAAACTTCTCTCTCCTGTTCGCCTCCGCCCTGATTTTGTTTACCTGCCCTGAGCGGCCAGGGCAGGAGGCTGATTTGGGCTGATTGTTGCTGTTTTCTTGGACGATGCGGGAGCCAGTGTAGGCTTGACTGACTCCTGTCTGTACCCGCCGCCGGGTGGTAGATGGTCCCCGACGAAGGTTCTGCAGGGAGGCAAACGGCTCAGGCGCACTTCCGCACAGGTGGAACAAGGAGAGGGTCGGAAGCACCTCTAGGCCGAGCTGATGCAGAGGGAAGCCTTCCGCAAGGCCCTGGAAAAAAGACTGTCTCAGGAGAAAGATGGAATCGGTTGTCAGCAACGTCACGGAGAACCTCTTTTCTAGAGGGTTCTGAAACTCCTTCAGGACTTTGGGATGAAGCTAAGAAGACAGGACAATTAGGTACCTAAAAGTATTACAAAGTTTACTGTAAGTACGTTATATAATGGTAACATTGTTATACATTCATTGTAAAAGAGATCTGGAGAATACAAAGAATTGAAAGACAAAAGGTAGTCACCTATAATTATACTAGTCAGCAATCAATTCTGTTAAACTTTTGGTATATATATCTCTGTTCCGTTTTCTGTGTATATATTCATATATTTTACACAATTGTGATCATGCTCTTTAACCAGTTCTGCGACCTACTATTTTCATCTCTTGTTGTTTAAGGAACATATTCATTGAGTGTTCTCAAGAAATACGGTTTTTAAGAGCTGCATGTATGGACTTTTAATCATTCCATTTTAGATAAACAAGGTATTTCCGATGTTTGGCTTTTATAAAATATTGTGTTTCTTGAATTCACTTATTTCTAATTATTTCATTAGCACTGACTCCGAAAAATGGAATTGCTATGCCATGGAGCACACACAGCCTTTAACACAGATTGCCAAACCGTGACACTCTGAATCTGATTTTTACTTCATTTCACTAAATATCCTGTTACATACCTGCCGGGACTACAACCGCAGAGACACACAGTTACAGCCCTGCCCATAGGAGAAACACCAGTCTGGCCAGGGGTCCAGGCATATAGACCGAATTCCAAATTAAGGCGGAAATGCCAAGACGTTCCCACAGAAAGTCAGTAAAAAAACCATTCCAGACAAAAGGTTTAGGATGTCCTCTGGTCTGAAAGCTCCAAAAGACATGGTATAATGGTTTATTATCAATGCAAATTTTAATAAATTTTAAGTAGAATTTTTTTAAATGTCAGGGAGATACACACTGTGTGCACAGAGGTACTGACTTTCTTTCAAAGAGAAGTCCCCTAAACCACATGGAGGTCTGTGGTTGTTGCCAGTTGCTGAGAACAGCAGTCATGTGGTGGGGAGAGCCCCCAAGATTTATTAAGAAGCAGGGACAAGGGGCTGATGGGAGGTGAACAGCATTGTACTTGATGGGGCAGGTTAGGGCACCACTGGCCAGCTCAGGGCTTGGAGATGGGGAGGAGGGAGGGTGGGAAGCTACAAAATTCTGTCCTTGGTGGAAGTGAGACCGTTTCCCTCACGCTTGGGGCCCAGTGCTGTCCAAGGCCCAGCGCTTGTTACTAATACCCCATTCAGACCCACTGAAGCGGAATTTGCACCTGAACAACCCCCCCCACCCCCACACCATGGTCTGTGTGCCCCGACTTTGTAGTTTTCTAAAAACTTGACTGGGATGGTCAGCAGGAGGACATGCATGTAGAAGGAGCCTGAGTCTCCAGGTTGAACCTGAAGGTGATTCTTTTGGCTTCAGGCTTGTGTGTGGGTTGGGTGTAGACAAAGCCAAGTGGCCAGGCCATGTATGCAGGCATCGCCCACTCCTCCCCCCTCGGCTGTGGAGCAGGGTCTGAAGAACTTGTCAGGTGGCTGCTGCCTTTGATACTTTCATGCTATAGCAGGTTTGGCGCCAGTCTCACCGGTGGTGTAGGCTGTGGCATTTGGGTTAGAAAGAGACAAAGCAGGGCAATTACCAATGAGGCAGCGGCTGCTCTGTGCACGTCCCTGAGCCGTGGAGCTGATGCGTGGCCCAGGTCTGATGAAGACACAGCCCCACACTCCTCCTCCAAGCCCAGGACGTCTCCCTGTCCACATCCCCAGAAGGCTCCCCTCCCCGACCCTGCTACAGACACCTCCCCTCGGGCTGTCAGCGTGTTGCGCAGCTGCGTCCCAGGAGGTCCAGACACACGCAGTGTGTGGCCCGGTGTCCACTCCAGAGGCAGCTCCTGGTCAGAGTAGCTCAGCCTGAGGCTGAAGGAGACCTGTCAGTAGGTGAGCCGGGGGCAGCTCTTGGGGTGGAGTCTCGGTGTGGGGGGTTGCCGTCCCCATTACCTTTTGCACTCTGCAATGCCTGTCCTGAGTATGCATTTCCGCAGTGAGTAACCTACTAACGAGGCAGCTCACTGCAGGCTCCCAGCTTTGCCAAAGGGTCCTGTCTGGCTCTTGGCCAGGACATTCAGCCATGGCTCCATCGGCAGTGGTGACCCCCTAGAATGCTGACATTCCGAACTTCTGACTGTAGACTGGGCGTGATCCTGGTGGGGGGACTTGAGGTCTGGGATTCTCAGTTCCCTCCTCTGTGGAGAGAAAGGGCAGATAACATCTACAAATGTCCAGAATGGCTCCCGGAGCACACACCTGCTGGAGAAAAGAGCAGAGGGTGCAGGTGTCTGCCTCTGACAGCTCAGCCTCAGTGATTCAAACACACCTAGCCATTCCGTTCCTTTTCTTTGGCAGACGTTGGTTGAGGAGAGTCCTGATGCTGCTTCGGACTAGGTGAGAGTCTGTGCTTGAACGCAGAAGAGACAGGCGAGGGTCCACAGGCTCTCCTGTCCCAGCCTACGCATCTCCTCCCTCCCCGAGTTCTCCCGCTGTTGTGCTAGGCAGCGGCTCCTTCCTCTTCCTTCATGTGGGCTCTCCCAATCTGTCTGCGGTGTTTTGCAGACCTGCCATCTTAGGTTGGAGTAACTTGGCTGTGTAGAGGACTTAAAGCCTTGAGTGGAATTATGGTAAGGATCCAGCAGGGTCTCCGAGGACCCGAGGTGGGGTGTGGCTGCATTTCCTGGGGGGGGGGGCTGGAACCAGAACCTTCCTTGTAGGTGATGCATGGGTTAAGAATATCTGGGTTGTTTGCGGCTCTGACCACTCATCGTGTGTGCGGCTGGGTGCTTGCCTCGCCTGCTCTGCCTCAGTGTCCTCATCTGTGAAATGAAGGTTGTATAATGGTGGTACTTGCCTACCCAAGGTTGTTAGGAGGCTTGAATGTGTGAAGCAGTCAGCGCTCTGAGCAGCCCCCCTTGCAGCCGGAGGCACCTGCAGGCGTGTCGTTACTCCTGCCCAGACTCTTTCTTCAGTGGGAAGGCAAGGGGGGGGCACTGGAAAAAGGGAGAAGAGAGTGCTAAGAGAAAGGAGACAGAGGGAGGCCCATGGGATAAAGGTTTCTGCAACCCATGGGTGGTCTTACGAGGTAGGCTGAGATGTTGGGTGTGTGATTGAGGGAACAGGGGCAGGAGAAAAGCAGCTACCCACCGGCGTGTAACTCTGCACAGACCAGGAGGACACAGCCCTCTGCTACATCCCAGCTGTGAGGACAGGGAGCAGCATCCCCTCCTCCACCCCAGGTTCCGCAGAAATGGAGAGGAGCCAGCCGGAGCTGCCAAGCCTGCAAGGTATGCTAGCTGAGTAAGTCCTGAGAGATCTGTACCACAGGGCGTCTACAGATAATGATGCTGGGCTGCAAAGTTAAAATTTTCTAACAGGATGAATCTTGTGTTAAGAGTTCTTACCACGCACACAAATGATGAAGAAGATGATGGTGGTGAAGATAAATAGTGCAGGAGGGAGCTTCTGGAGGTGATGGGTATGTTAATGGGATAGACGGTGCTGACGGTTTCACAGGTAGAACCCACCTCCAAACTCATCAGTGCATACATTAATTATCTACAGGTTTTCTTTAATGTCAGTTATACCTTCATAAAGTGGTTTAAAAAGATAAAGTAGGAGAGAATGTAGTCAAAACACTGAGCACATTACCGGTCACAGTAAATACACAAATAATTACAAGTATTGTCAAACCTCAGCTGTGGACTGGGAGTTGGTCCCATAGGTACTTGGCAGGTGGCATCCATGTCCAGCTGCTCCCTCCAGCCTTGGCTCAGTGCAGCTGCTGCGACAACTGAGTGCGGCCCAGATAGAGGGGGAGGCCCAGGTGTGGCTCCCTTCTGCCGGGCGTGGCTCACTCTCAGCAGGTAGGGAAGGTCGCAGACGCCGTGACACCTTCTTTTGGATACTTGCTATCTTCCCCCCATTTTCGTCACTCAGGTCTCTAACCTTCAGCTCACTTCTGTGGGAACCTGGGTTTTAAGATTGCTGCAGATGTTTCAAAGTGTGTAGATTCATCTTGCCTTTGTTCACTGTCCTTGGGTCTGAGATAACGGCGGGAAAACTCAACCTAGTGTGAAATCAACAATGCTAAATGTCAGGTGTGCTCTGCTCCTGGTGG